TGGGATCCACAGTCCCCTCAAATTTTCTCAACTCTATGTTTGAACTACTTTTTTAATTGGTAAAAGAAAATTTATTGATGTAAAATAAAGTACATGGTGTACAAATAAATTACATCAATAAAAAGTGGACAAGAAAATAGCATCAAAGCATTAGAAACATATATCAACAAGTTGACACATGTACCAAGCTTATCATGAACTATACGCCTAACACTTGACAGAACAATAAAATAGGTCAAACTTCACTTTACTCCCTTGTGTTTTGGGCTGGGTGCAATTTACCCCCCTGACATTCAAACATTACCACAAAACCCCTATGTGGTTTGTGGACTAAAACGCACATTAACTTCTGTTAACAGAAGTTGTAAATTGACCATTATACCCTTATCTTCATCTTCTTCTTCTTCACTCTCTCTCCATTTCATCTTCTTCATCTGGTGTTCAATGCATAGCAATCTTATTTGGTGTTCAATGATTAGCAATCATATATACATAAAGCAGATGTAAAAACAAAATCAATTTTTATTTTTAAACATAATACAGATATATATATATATATACGGGTAAAACCCAATTGAACTACACAAATAGAATGTTTGATGAGCAACTCTACACACACAAACAAAACCCAATGGATCAAAGTTGTTGCACTAATAGAGAAGATTAACTCTGTGATAGCATTTCCTTCTACAAGTTCAAATCTTTTCTCTATTTCACTGTTTGTAAAATACCAAATGAATCTCAGTATTCAGATCAATACATTCAACATATATTCACACTCCCATTTTGCTGAAAATGAAAAGACATTGAACTCTCTCTTAATCAAACTACGAAACAATAAAGATTAAAGACTAAATCGCTGAGGAAAAGAAAACCATGACACAAGTGAAGACCGATAAGGGAAAAAGTAAAACATAGAGAACAAATGCACTAAAAAAATGTAAAATGAATGCCGAACTGATATGTGATGATCAAATTTAAAGATAAAACATATATGTGAACTGGGTTTGTCTGCACCATGTATGTTTGTATGATGGCAGCCTTGCATCACTTTCAGGTCATTCTTCTGTGAAAATTGAAGCCCCAGAAGTAAGCTTTCCAATGGTGGCAGCCTTGCATCAAAATTCCAACTATGCTAAGAGATATCCCTCTTTTAGTGAAGGCTGCTTAGTTTCGGTCCAACCGAAATGATGCCTAACTTCGACCAACCATATCTCCCTCGTCCAAACTCAGCTTCAGGAGATTCTTGAGTGCAAAATGAAGCCCCAGAAGTCTTCTTTCCAACGGTGGTGGCCTCATAGCTGAAATCCAAGTGTGAAAATGAATAGGCCCGATTCAGCGAGTGGTGCTTGATTCTCTCTTAACGATTTATGCCTGACTCCTTCTCCAACTGGGTTTCTTCCCTCTTCTCTTCTTTTCCTCAACATCCAACCCCTAAACAAGGTGTTTTGAAAGATTTTTTGAAAGAGTTCATCTCTCCTTCATTCATTTCCACTTTTATCTTGCTCGGTTTACCGAAAAACACGACATTTAACAAAATGCGAGCGTCGGAACATCGTAGGAACTTTATTTCAAAAATATTTTGAAAGAAAGGGTTTTAAGATCTAAAATATTTTGATCAAGAAACGGGGTGTGAGGTTTGGATTTGACTCTTCTCACGCCGAAGAAATCGACCCTTTGCACTGCACAACTTTCAACACCAAAGAAGCCATTAGTAGCGCCCAAGTCTTAAGGACGGTCAAAAACGGGATGTCTACAGCGGGCTCTCTTTTGCTCATCCTCTGGTTCACTGTTCAGTCCGGTCTTGCCGCTACTGCAACAAAACTGCCCCCGGCCAGCAAGATTATTTTCGCAATCCATCATGTGTATCCTCTATTGGCCAATCCTCTCGTGGATCTCACTCACGGGGACGTTCTCAACATTCCGGGAATCAGTCTCGGTCTATGCTTGCTCCTCATACTGCTGTTGCTGCTTCTGAGGACTTATCCTCATCTAACCCTTTGAATCCATTTCAAAAATATTTTGAAAGAAAGGGTTTTAAGATCTAAAATATTTTGATCAAGAAACGGGGTGTGAGGTTTGGATTTGACTCTTCTCTCGCCGAAGAAATTGACCCTTTGCACTGCACAACTTTCAACACCAAAGAAGCCATTAGTAGCGCCCAAGTCTTAAGGACGGTCAAAAACGGGGTGTCTACAGCGGGCTCTCTTTTGCTCATCCTCTGGTTCACTGTTCAGTCCGGTCTTGCCGCTACTGCAACAAAACTGCCCCCGGCCAGCAAGATTATTTTCGCAATCCATCATGTGTATCCTCTATTGGCCAATCCTCTCGTGGATCTCACTCACGGGGACGTTCTCAACATTCCGGGAATCAGTCTCGGTCTATGCTTGCTCCTCATACTGCTGTTGCTGCTTCTGAGGACTTATCCTCATCTAACCCTTTGAATCCTTCCACCCCGATCTTCTCTCAAACAGATGTTGAAACCCTAATTAAACAGTTTCTCTCCACTTCTGGTACTCCTCCTTCTACTGCTTTGTCTGTCACCTCAGGTACATCTTCTTGGTATTTTGATTATGCATGTTGTAACCATATGACTTCTGACTCTACTATTTTTTCTTCCACATCTTTTTCTTTTTATCTTCCTTCCATACGTACTGCTGATGGTTCTCTTATGTCTGTGAGTCATATTGGTTCTGTCTCTACATCTCACTTGTCTTTATCCCATGTCTAGTCAATTATGTGAACATGGTCTAACAGTCAAATTTTCTACTCATGGTTGTTTGGTGCAGGACCCTCGGATAGGATAGACCCTTGGGATCGGTCGTAAGCATGGACGTCTCTACAAGCTCATTCATCTTCATGTTCCAGTCTCCACTTCATTGGCTACCCCTACGTCTGCTTCATCTGTCTCAACATTATCACCTTTTAATCTTTGGCATTGTCAGTTAGGTCATATTTCTATTAATCGATTGAAATATTTAATTTCTAGTGGTCAGTTAGGTCATATCTCTTCAGATACTTTGGATTGTATTTCTTGTCAACTTGCCAAACAACCGGCTTTTTCCTTTAATAACAGTACTTCTGTTTCTTGTGCTCCTTTTGATCTTATATATTATGATATCTGGGGCCCATATCCTATACCCACCATGGGGGGAGCACGCTATTTTGTTATTTTTGTTGATGATTTTTCTCGTTATACTTGGATATTTCTTATGAAAAATCATTCGGAACTCAAACAACTTTATTACAATTTTTCCAAAATGGTTCAAACCCAATTTTTCAAAACTATAAAAACTTTCGTTCTGATAATACTATGGCATACAGGGATTCTGACTTTTTATCTTTTCTTCAGCGTCATGGTACTCAGTCTCATCGTTCTTGTGCCGATACATCCTAACAAAATGGACGTGCTGAACGAAAACATAGGCATATTCTTGATACTACTCAGGCTCTTCTCATTTCTTCCTCTTGTCCTGAAAAATTTTTGGTAGAAGTTGCTCTTACTACAGTTTACACCATCAATTATGTTCCAACCCCAGTCCTTCATAATCACACACCCTATGAGCAATTATATGGTACCTCTCCCTCTTACACTGCTCTTCGAGTCTTTGGGTCTGCATGTTTTGTTCTTCTCCAACCTCATGAACACACCAAACTAGAACCTCGTTCTCGTCTATGTTGTTTTCTGGGATATGGTATTGAACATAAAGGTTATCGATGTTGGGATCCGATTTCTAAACATCTTCGTATCTCTCGCCACGTTGTCTTTTGGGAACATAAAATGTTTGCCTCCCTGTCTTCCTTTCACTTATCTTCTCCAGATTCCACTCTCCACTTTACTGATCCCTCTATAGATTTATTTCTAACTGATTTTGATTCAGGTCTTCCTTCTCCAGACACGCCATTGCTTCCACCTGATCCCATCGAGCCTGTTCTCCTTGATGGTTCTCATCATGTCTCCATGGCTCCATCGCCTCTTTCTACGTCTTCACCCTCATCTCTTCAGCCTCCTTCTTCCCGTAGTCCACAAAGGGTAACACAACCTAATGTTCGTGTTCGTGATTATATTGTTGGTTCTACTGCATTTTCTACTTATGAGCCTTCCTCCTATCGTGAGGCATGTTCTAACCCTCTTTGGCAGCAAACTATGACTGATGAATTATAGGCCTTAGACACAACTCATACTTGGAATATTGTTGATCTTTTCCCTGGTAAGACTGTGATCTGGTGTAAATGGATCTATAAAATCAAGACTCATTCTGGTGGATCTATTGAGCGCTACAAAGCTCGTTTGGTTGCCCAGGGCTTCACACAAGAATATGGTATTGATTATGAGGAGACTTTTGCTCCTGTTGCTCGTCTCACTTCTGTCCGTAGCTTGATTGTTGTTGCTACTGCTCGTAATTGGGGCTTTTTTCAGATGGATGTAAAAAATGCCTTCCTCAATGGTGATCTTCTTGAGGAGGTCTATATGCAACCTCCTCCTGGGTCTACTATTTCGACCCATAAAGTCTGCAAACTGCAACGAGCCTTATATGGACTCGAGCAAACTCCTCGTGCTTGGTTTGCTAAGTTCAGTGCTATTATACATGACTTTGGCTTCACTTCTAGCCCCTATGACTCGCCTTTATTTATTCGCACTACTGCTCAAGGCACTACTCTCCTTCTTTTGTATGTGGATGATATGATTATCACCAGAGATGATAAGGCTAGTATTCTTCGCCTCAAACAGTTTCTTAGCCAACCCTTTGAGATGAAGGATCTTGGTACTCTCAATTATTTCTTGGGTCTTGAAATCTCTCATGATTCATCTGGCTATTTTCTCTCTCAGGCCAAATATGCTTCAAATCTTCTCACTCGAGCTGCACTTACTGATTGCAAAACTGTTTCTACTCTGATTGATCCTCAGACTCGTCTTACTCCTCTTGATGGCACTTATCACCAGAGATGATAAGGCTAGTATTCTTCGCCTCAAACAGTTTCTTAGCCAACACTTTGAGATGAAGGATCTTGGTACCCTCAATTATTTCTTGGGTCTTGAAATCTCTCATGATTCATCTGGCTATTTTCTCTCTCAGGCCAAATATGCTTCAAATCTTCTCACTCGAGCTGCACTTACTGATTGCAAAACTGTTTCTACTCTGATTGATCCTCAGACTCGTCTTACTCCTCTTGATGGCACTCTTCTTCCTGATGCTACCCTTTACCAGCAGTTAGTGGGCAGTCTTATCTATCTTACAGTTACTCGACCTAATCTTTCATATGTTGTCCACATTGTCAGTCAGTATATGTCAGCTCCTCACACACCTCATTATGATGCCCTGCTTCACATTTTTCGCTATCTCAAGGGCACTTTATTTCATGGTCTTCACTATTCCTCTCTATCTTCTCTTAAGCCTCATGCTTATTCTGATGTTGATTGGGCTGGGAATCCCACTAATCGTCGCTCCACTACTGGCTTTTGCTTCTTCCTAGGAGATTCACTTATTTCTTTGCGTAGCAAGAAATAGACTCTCACTGCTCGCTGTAGTACTGAGGCTGAATATCGAGCTCTTGCAAATACTATCCAGGAACTTCTATGGCTTCGCTGGCTTCTTGCTGATATGAGTGTCGTTTCTACTGATGCGACCTCTCTCTACTGTGACAACCAAAGTGCCATTTAAATTGCTCATAATGATGTTTTCCACGATCGCACTGAACATATTGAGATCGACAGTCATTTTATCCGCCAGCATGTTATTCGTGGCACAGTCTAACTCCATTCTATTGCCTCTGCTGGTCAGCCTGCTGATATCTTCACCAAGGCTCATCCCCCTGGTCATTTCAGTGACTAAGTTTCCAAACTCATGTTGGTTGATGTCTATCCACCTTGAGTTTGAGGGAGGCTGTTAAGTGTATATATTCTGTTAGTGTATATATTTGGTATAAAGTATTTACAATACACCTACCACACCTACTACACTACCACCAATGTATTCTCTCCTATATATAGGAGCTCTTTGTATAGAATTCATAGATAAGATTTACAACAATATAATCTTCTCTCTATTTCTCTCTTTCTCTATACATTAAACTAACAGATTGGATTTGATATGTGTATATATATATGTATGTGTATGCATGTACACATGATCAAGAAGGAAGGAAGAGTGGAGCTGCAAATGGTTGAAAAATATAAGTAGGAAAAAAATGGTGTCCTTTGTAAATTTGAAGAGATATAAAGGGTATTTTTGTCATAAAAATTGACTCACTCTCTATAAAGGCGTGTGACTTTCACACTCCGCTATCTTAAACAGAAAAGTTAACCATGCGTTTTAGCTCACAAACCACATGGGAGTTCTGTGGTGATGTTTGAATGTCAGGAGGGTAAATCGCACCCGGCCCAAAACACGGGAGATAATGTGAAGTTTGCCCAATAAAATATGACAGCCTAGCCACAAGCAATCAACATGAAAGCCACCTAAAAGAAGCAAAACCAATAACGAGCAATGAACTGAAAGCCACGCCAAAAGGAATTACAAAGCAAGAAGCCACTATCAGAAATCCCATATCAAATGGAATTTCAAACCAACTGCAATTCCAGGACATCCTGCAATGAACACACTAAAGTCACACCAAAGCAACCTCCAATTACGTAAAATTTGACCCTCAGAGGAAAGCAAAGACCACCATGGCTTTGAAATTCCTTTATCAAGAACTCGATGCAGTATCAGTGCTTACGATACTTATCATGCAAATTCTTGCCTTGATAATCTGGTCCAACTCTGCAAAATTCTTCCTTTCCTTCGAAATCTATTCCAGTTACTTTAAAACCATCACTTGAACTCAATTTGGATAGGCTTGATAATCTCATCAGAGCTACTTTAGCAGAGTTGGACATTCAAGCCTTGGATCTTTCTTCGTTAATATGATTTAGGTTCTATATTTGAACCTCACTGTCCATCCGATAATTAAAATGCTTTCATGTATTTGCTCATTATGAAAAATAAATAAATAAATAAATTCCATCCATGAGGGTGTGTTGAGAATATAATATAAATAATAAAATTACCCCTCTTTTTAATAACTTAAACATTTAGAGGAATTGGCATAAAAAATTCAACAAGAATTAGAGGATAGTGTGATGAAAACTTACAGGATATGCAGTAATTCAATATGTTGACTTCAGGAAGACCTCTCCTTAGTATCCTTCTTCTTCAATAGAGACTTTCTAAAAGAAACAAATCTGTATAGTATTATTTAATAGCTCACTTATTTGTAATAAGACTAATTTCATTGTGCTATACCATATGTGCTTATGCATGTCTCAATTTATATGGAATAAATAATTCTTAAACATTATTTCAAGAAAAGTATGTTTTCTTTCTCTACGCCAACAACAGTACAAATATGTAATTCTTTGCTTATTTGTGGAAGCAATTTATGGGATGCTTAATCCGGTGGTGACTTCAAGAATTTTTATAAATGAGATCATTCTATAAATTTAAATTTTACAAATTCTACGAAACTAAAAAACGTTTACTTTGCTTGTTTTTGAGTTTTCAAAATAGTTCAACTTTTTGTTTTTCGTACTTTATTACTTCTTAAAAAAAATTCAAATTTTATTCAAATTTTTTTTTTTTGATGTATCTAACTTAAATATATTTAAAAAGTAAAATATTTGTGAAAAATAATACTCCCTCCGTCCCAAAATATTAGTCCTTTATTTCATTTTTTATTGTCCCAAAATATTAGTCCCTCTTCAAAAATTAAGTACAAAAATAATATAAATTTCCTATTTTACCCTTCTTTTAAATTAATAAACAACATAAAAAGTACAATTATGTATTGATATTTCCAAAAAATGTACTATCAAAAGGATAATTTTGAAAAATCAACTTTTTTCAAATGTAATAATTGTACTACCAAAAAAAATTAGATTCTCCAGAAAAAGACCATTATTTTGAGACGGAAGGAGTAAAATAAATAAAAATTTAGTGAATTTTTATATTTTTTTTAGGACACACGATCCATAAGTCTAATTATAAATTTCTTGGGTTTAAGAGTCCACGCTCTAAATTATTATCTCCATAAGTACATGCTTTTACGAAAAGACCAAAATACTCATAGATTTGGATCCACGTGGGTATGTTCAATCAAAACCCTCTCTCTCTCTCTCTCTCTCAATCACCGACCTCTTTCTCTCTCTAAATCACCTACTTTCCTCTCCTCTCTATCTCTCTCAACTGCTTTGCTCTCTCCTTCATTTCTCTTTATCTCTTTGGTCATGTTTATTTGACTCCATAACTGAGGGGATTAGACTAATAGTGAGGGAGGACCATGTAAAGAGTGTTTGGTTGTGGAAGGTTGTGATGGGATTAACACTCTTGGGCCCTGTTTGTTTCTAGAGATGGAATGGAGGGGATTGATAGTGAGGGGATTAATAGTGAAGGGATTGTTAGTGAGGGTCGTTTGTTTTCAGAGATAGAATAGAGGGGATTGATAGTGAGGGGATTAATAATGAGGGGATTGTTAGTGAGGGGATTGATAGTGAGGGGATTAGTAGTGAGGTCCACGCTCTAAATTATTATCTCCATAAGTACATGCTTTTACGAAAAGACCAAAATACTCGTAGATTTGGATCCATGTGGGTATGTTCAATCAAAACCCTCTCTCTCTCTCTCTCTCAATCACCGACCTCTTTCTCTCTCTAAATCACCTACTTTCCTCTCCTCTCTATCTCTCTCAACTGTTTTCCTCTCTCCTTCATTTCTCTTATCTCTTTGGTCATGTTTATCTGACTCCATAACTGAGGGGATTAGACTAATAGTGAGGGAGGACGATGTAAAGAGTGTTTGGTTGTGGAAGGTTGTGATGGGATTAACACTCCAAAGGGACTAGCAATCCCCCATCTTGGTTGGAATAGCATGGAAGGAAAACACAGAATTAGAAATCTAGTGATAGGATTAATGGATTAAAATATTGAATAAAATAGATTAAAATACTTTTAATATTATTTTTTAAAATATTTTATTTGTGAAAGAAATATTTAAATTTTTTAATAAATACTATAAAAATATGATTTTTTTTTATGTTTAGTGAATTTTTAAATAATTTTTATACAAAATTTATATATTTTTTAAGTGTCTCTAGATTAAGTGGACTTAAAAAGTATAAAAATAATAATAATTATAATATTAAAAAAATACTAAAAATAAATATATATTAATTTTATATATTTATACTATTTATAGTATTATTAATCTCGTGGTATACAAACAAACACTTTTTATCTGACTTTTCTAACCTAATACCACAACACTAATAATCTCCTTACTTAATCGCACTGTACTCCCAATCCCCTCCATCCTATGGAGCCAAACAAATGAGACCTTTAGTCTCTCTATCTTTCTCTTTCTTCCTCTAGGGTGTTTGGAAAGAAGCTTTTTCGACCTTTTTGGCTCAAATAGTACTAAAAGACAAAATATGTTAAAATAGTTAATAAGACAAAATATCACATCAAATCCATAATTATTTCACTTTTTCTCGCACAAACATCACATCCAATTACCCAAAAAAAAAAAATCAACCGTCTTATCAAACACAACTATTTTAGCCTATTAAAATAGCTAAAAATTAAAATAGTTTATTCAAATAGCCAACTTCTCAAACACCCCCAAAGCCTTAAACAAATAAAAGTAAAAAATTAAACAGATAAGAAAAATCTATATATATATATATATCTATGTGTGAAATCAATTTGTATAGATAGAAAGAAAAAAATTCGACAAATAAGGGAACTAATTTGAGTAGGCCAGAGATATTCAACAGATAATTTATTTGGTAAAATTTCAACAGATAGGGAAAAATAGGCTTGATGAATTTCAACCAATAGATTACAAAAATTGAACAGATAGGTTGAAAAAAATTGAACAAATAAAAAATATTTCAATAGATAAGTTCATAAAAATTGAATAGATAAAAAATTTTCAACATATAGGGTCAAAAAAAAAATCAATAGATATGTCAAACGGTAAAATTGAAAACAAAATGTCCTCCAAAACTCATCACAATATTTCATAAAGAGTATTTATGACTAAAGAAAAATACTTATGGAACCTAATGCCTTACACCCTTTTAAAATGGCCTTTTCACCAATTTTCTCTCTTTTTTTAATTTTATTTAGTGAATTTTTAAAATATTTTTTCACAATTTTTTTTTTAAATGTACTAGATTAAGTGAATTTAAAAAATTTATTAAAAGAAAAATTTTAAAATATTTAAAAAGTTGACTAAAGATAAAAAATAAATAAATAAGTAATGAAAGAAGAAAAAAAAAAAAAAAACTCAAACAGAGTAATTTAAAAAAGAAAAAAAAAAAAAACTCAAACAGAGTAATTTAAAACTTCTGAAACAATAGGCCTATAATGAATAGTGATCCCTATTTGATGGGAACACTTAACTTTTTGATTGAATTAAGCTATATTAAGTAAAATATTAACAGTATGATTGAATTAAGCTATATTAAGTAA